CTAAGACCATATAAGATTTTTTTATTCAGATTTTGTATTCTTATGCTTAATCTCTGAATTGTGTATTTTTTWAATCCCTTTTCTTCATCTTCCTGATTTATATTTAATGTTTCTTGTAGCCAATATACAGTCTGGTTTTARTTTTCAACTTAGTCTTTTAATCTCTGACTCGTAATTGACATGAGTCCATTTAAATGTAATGTCATCATTGATGTAGATGGGGGTTGCATMTAACATCTTACTATTTATTTTGGCCTAGTTTTATAGCTATTTATCATCAAGGGGAAAGTCTTGTTTTTGTTACTCTGTAATGGTCTTYCTGTATAGTTTAATAGTAATATTTTCTTCTATTTAAGATAACAYTCTATAGATTAAACATCAAAGCATTTATCAGCCTTTAAAATTGCTGTTCTCTAGAASAGTGTCYGAAAYACAGTGTGCAATAAATTTGGTTTTCAATACATGAATGAATGGTTCAGTGGAGAGATCAAGATGAAAACGTATTTATAAGCTAGTTGACCTAAGTGAAGAACACATTATAGCAGTAAAGAAATGCTTGAATAACCCACAGTGATATCCAGGGGGAAGCTGTGTACCTCCAGAAAAYTTTGCCATCCTGTCTGAAGCCACATGGACTGACATCAAACTTTGAAGGCTCCCAAAATTTATGGTGTCATGTTGATTGCATGACAAAAAGGACTCGACTCTTAGTAGAAAGTTTATACTGGCAAAACTCATGAGCTGGGTTACAACTTAGTAATATAGATTCAGAAATAAAGCTYTCACTAATAGCCATTTCTCTATATATACCCAAAGAAGAAGCCAAATCATAAGAAAAATCTTGCTTGTTAAGCATAAAATTAGAATATTAATTAAATRTTTAGCAACATCAGATAAAGGGTTGACTTCCTTAATAAACTGGTATATTGTTTAATTACATATATGTTTCCAAACTTACAATAGAACAAGATTCTTTAGTTTCACATTTCTTTTTGCTTTCTTACAATAACTGGATCTCATCGTCAAGTTTTTCTTATAAATATTATATTTCTAACATTTTTATTTAAAATGAAAACATATCCTAAAACTGTTTTTTTAACTAGCTTTATTTTAAATGATATGTTATGAATCCAATTATATTTTACATCTTTTATCAAACAATTATTGAGTMATTTATTCATGTGGGGACTAGAGATTTTGTGGAAAATAAAACTGTGGTCTTCATCTCATGAATTTCACAATGTAGCAGAAGAAACAATAGGCAATACAGTATGATATTTTAAGTGTTATCGCATACTAGGAAGTCATAATTAAAGGACGCCCAACTTATTCTTGAGGGATTGGAGAAATTTTTTCCAAACAAGATAAACTCTGATTTAAACCTGAAAGGACAGTGTGGACTAGAGAGTGATGAAGTTGGAGTAGGAAGGGACAAAGAGTTCATAGCAGGGGCTACACTCAAGAGATGCAGGAACATGGCACCCACATCAAACTGAGTCTTTCTCTGTGACTGGAGCTTTGAGTGTTGGGGAAAAAGTAGAAAAAGATGAAGGGCACTACTGAAAAATTTTGACCAGTGATGAATCATCATGGAATTCGTATAATGGAAAGAGAAGTTTGACTAGACTCTGAATAACAAGCTGGGAGGGTCGGGAGAGTTATCAATCAGGAGGTTCTTACAGTAATCAACATGAGAGAGAATTCTGGTCTGCTTGAAGTAGTTACAGATATCATACAAATAAAAAGACTGATGGAGGACATGAGAGGGAAATTGACAAAATTTGATTATGAATGGGTTTGAGATGAGAAAAAAAAAATTGTTAGCCTTGATGAGGATGAGTGCCAGGGTTCTATCTGGTTTAAATTCTTGAGTGGATGGTGTCATTGAATGGGAAAGATATGGAGAAAAAGTTCTGAGGGAAGATGATGAATTCAGCTATCACATGACTATTTTTGTGTGAAATTTAGTGGGAGATGCTTACCATATATTAGTACAGATAAGCTTGCAGTTCAGGAAAGAGATTGGAAGTGAGTTCTGAGAACTGTCAGTATGTTGATTATATYTGAGTGTTAAAGTGATTTAACAGAAAAATGAATTTAAGGAAATGATGAAGAAGGATAAACTGAGAAGGATTCAGACAAATAACAGACAGAGGTGTAAGACAAAACTCAGGAGTGTAGGAGCCATAGAAGAGAATTTCAGATTAATCTCTACCACAGATGCTGTTTCAGAGAGAAGAAATAACATATGGACTGGAAAAAAAATGTTTAATGAATATAATGTTGAGGAAATTTGGCAAAAAATAGTTTAAGTAGAGTGTTGAATAAGAACCACATTTCAATGTGTTGGGAAGATTAAGATTAAATTAGGCCGAGAAGATTAAGACACCAAGAATAGAAAACTAATAGAAGACTTTATATTTATAAGGAGAAAAGATGTTTCAGTAGCTAGAGGAATTTTGAGAGGAAGAGATGTTTCTTTTGATGATTTCTTGTAATGAGAGATCTTTTAAAGACATCAAAATTTAACTCAGAAAAAAACTATTTTTCAAAATTGTTTGTAATACCTCATTTAGCCTGCAGGTGTCGACAATGTTTAAAGTATAGTAGTGAGTAAAGGAAAAAAATGCCCAAAGACAGGAGGATGGCAAAGAGAAGGGGACGATAGAAGAGTAGAGAAAAGGAGATGCCTGCATTCAATGGGATATGTAGCAAAATTAAACCTATACAGATAATTGCACAGAAAAGTGAACAGTGTGAACTTGGACATATGGAACCCTAGAATCATGCAAAGAAGAGTATTTCAAGAAGAAGTGGTCAAAGTAGAGAAGTAGAGTGTGGAGATGAGGGGCAGGGATGGAGGGAGGAAAAGGAAAGTACTGGGGAATGAAATCGACCAAATTGTGCTACATGAATTTATGAACACATCACAGTGAATTCCAGGGTTGTGTATAATTATGATGCACCAACAGAAAATTAATTTTTAAAAAAGGGGGTCAGTACAACAACAAGTTAGAAGTCCAAGTAGAATTCATGACGTTTTCCTGTGCAAAAACTTACCTGTGGTAGTAGGAACAGAAATAGGCCACAATTAGAGAATCACACTACTGAGAATAAGTCTGAAGATTTCTAAAAATGACTTAAACCCAACTCAAATATGATTTCCTCTGAGGAAGTTTAATTGGAAGTCCACAAAAACACATATTTTCCCTCCTTCAATGTTTCTACAATGCTTCCACCATATAATCAACAAACTTCACTTTCTTGGAAYTTATCCAAGAGAAATGATGACTTATGTTTACACTTAAAAACCTGTACATAAATTTATGTAGCAGTTTTATATATAAAAACAACAGCAGCAGGAGCAACAACAAACTCCAAATAACACAGATGTCCTTTATAACTGCTTRAAAATTTTTTGAGAGAATCTGTCTTTATTGAATTGGTTTCCCCATACATTCTATTGGAAAGTTCAAGACTTTGTTGAAGTAAAAGTGATTATTAATATAAATAGTCTATACATATTTTCCTGGGGTAAAAAAGGATCTGGGGTGGGAGAGACAGTAATATGACTTAAAAAGAGCAACATGAAATAACTTTGATTTTATCAATTAATGTCATTATCCTAGTTGTGATTATATTTTTGCAAGTTCTTAATGGTGGAAGCTGGATAAAAGGTAYATGAGTTCTCTATTATTTCCTATAAGTACATGTAAATCTATTACTTTCTTAAAATGAAAAAAAAAAGACTTTTAAAAACACCTAGAGGTAAAAAAAAAAATAGAATTTCGAAAATAGTTAAACGAACACTAGTTTGAAGTCAGACTCTCTTATGGCTGAATCCAAAGTCTGCCACATTTTTATTTTAAATCTATGTAACATGATTTTATCTGACTGAGCTTTCAATAATTGATCATCAAGAATGTTATCACCATCCTCACCACCACCACTGAAATCCTTATCAAGTCCTTGCTATGTACCAGTCTGTATACTAAGGCCTTGGCATATTTTACCACAATTAACCCTCTCAACAGCCCTATCAGGAAGATATTATTGTTGTTGTCTTAATTGTAAATATTGAGAAACTAAAGTACAAGAAAAAGTAATTCAYTCAGGGCCATATGGTGAATTTCTAAATATGAACTTGAGCCCAAGCAGTCTTCCACAAGACTTAAAACCTCCCCCTAACATTTATGGGACTCAAGTAAAAAGAAAAAAAACAAAAAAACAAAAAAAAAAAAAACAACAACAAAAAAAACAAAGCCTCATACTAGGTCTAAATGCTTAAGAGTTAGAGATCAAGCTAAAAACTGCTTAAATATACATTTTATCCTTTTACTTAGACAAAGATACTTTGTAAATCATWTGAAGGGTTATATTTGAATTTAAAGTCTTGAGCCCTTTCACAGTTGTAAAGATTAAGCATGGTGRACTATGTTTCCATCCAGGGTAATTTAGTTCCCCACTGTAAAGAGGCCTCCCTGCACTTTTGAGTAGATGCTTCCATGAGCTATTTTGACTCAACAATGAGTCAGTGTGTTTTTGTGGATGGTCTTGGGAATAGGGGATCATGCAAATCCTGGAAACCTAGCAAACTGTACAGAGAATTCTAAGGTCCTGAGTACCAGAAACACAGTCTAGAGCCATGCAAGATGGGCTCCAAGTGAAAGGCTTCTTGGTCTCACACTCTGGGAGAGGCACAAATAAAAACAGACATAAATTGAGTGCACAGTAGAGGTCCCCCTAACTCTTAGGTCTAAGGACTTAGATCTAAGTATGATACTAGCCTTATTTCAACAGGAATGAAGCTTTCACTTTTGCAGTTAAATTATAGAAGATCCCTCGTAAATTGTACCAGATGTGTGCTGCTCTGTGGCATTACAGGGAAGGTGCAGTATTTCTATTAGTGTTTGTACTTCTGTTTTAATGTCAAGTAGCACATGTTCCCCACATTGACATTTTGTAATCATAATATATATATTTATATGTATTTTTGGTAGATGGACTGGATGCTTTTACCAGATTTCTTAAGACTGAATTCAGTGAAGAAAATATCGAATTTTGGATAGCCTGTGAAGATTTCAAGAAAAACAAGGAACCTCAACAAATTACACTTAAAGCAAAAGCAATATATGAGAAATTTATACAGAGTGATGCTCCCCAAGAGGTATAGTATAGTAAAAATGACTGGAAAACTTTACAACTGCTTGAAAAATTTTTGAGAAAATCTGCCTTTATCAAATTGGTTTCCCCATACATTTTATTGGAAAGTTCAAAATTTTTGTTGAAGCAAAAGTGGTTATTAATATAAATAGTCTATAAAGATTCCTGTATGTAAATAGAACACATTGTAAGATACTATCATGGAAGAGAGGGTAAAGTGAAGTCCCTCCTCAGTTATTTTCATGTAGACTAAGAATGAATAYAATTAACTGCAACTTGGTGATTTCTTCAGGCATTCATGTTAATCACTTTAACACAAGCAGCCCCTCATAGAAACTAAAGATTTCTAACAGTGACAAAACAAGAAAATCCAAGAAGTGTTTATAACATGTACCATTTTAATGTTATCTATCTATATAAAGTTTTGTTTGCCCCAAAGAATTACAACTCTGTTTTAAAATAAGCTAAAAGAAAATATCCCAATAGATGATGTAAAACACATTTGGCAATGGATCAAATGGCAAACAAAACATGGTTTTCTTTGACTGCAAACTCAATAGGTAACTGTGATTCAATTGCTAAAATGGCTATGAGATTAGCCAATATTATCATATTAATTAGAGTTTATATTTATAAATTTCTCTACAATTTCTATTGTATTCAATAAATGGTGATTCTTTATTTAGATGGTGGAATTGGTGGTCTGTCGCTGTTAAAAGTTTTGTTTGTACATTAATACTGCCTTAATTAATCAGCTTTCTAGAAGTTGCTGTGACAAACAGCTAAGAGAATAATATAAATAGTCTATAAACTGAAAGGAAAAAAAGTCTATTTTGAATTATCACTTCAGAGGTTTCTGCCTGTGGTTGCTTGACCCTGTGTCTTCTGTGGCAAGGCAGAATACCATGGTGGAAATGCATGGCAGAGGACACTGCGCAACTATGGCAGCCAGGAAGCAAAAAGAGAAAGAAAAGGGGCCAGGGTTCCTATATCTATTTCAAGGGCACACCCACTAATCTAACTTTCTCCARCTAGGCCTCATATTTTAGAGGTTCCAGCACTTCCCAATGACACCATACGCTGTCAACCAAGCCTTTATTATATGGGCTTTKGGGAACCATATAAGATCCAAATCATAACATTACCCATGGAGTAGCATTTTCTATGTGGATGKTACACCATTAGAAATGATGGTTATTTTCCTTGTTTTAGTATTTTTCAATCTTTTTTTGTGTTTCAGTATATTATTCTGTCTTCCCTGAGGCCAAATTTATACATATCTCAAAGCAGAGAGGAGGGTAGCTAATGGTATCTTGTTACACAGGAGGAAAAAACACTGGTTTCCTACTTGAAAACTCACCACCACCAGACCAGGTATATCAAWGGTACTATAATAAAAGGTCTTAAAGGATTTTTGTCTTTAAGAAACGTCTTTACTTCAGCATATGTTTGTTTGTAGGAAATGTCATAACGTAACGAAATAAGCAATAGCATCAACAGAAGTCTCATTAAAATCCTAGATATTCCCCAACATCCCTGTTTTCCATCACTCAATGTTGTCTATGTAGTTTAGTTCCCCGCTTTAAAAAGTCAGGGAGTTCAACCAACACTGTGTATGCTACATCCATTGCAATATTGCATYTTTCTAAATTAGAAAGTAAGAAGGGTGAGGAGCATAGACAGAAGAGCCAAATGGAATTCCAGGCCAGAATAAATCACCCTGTGCCGCCTGAGGAAAACCACGCATGCGTCCAATCTTGCTAGGCCTGCTCTAACTTTGCATCAATCTAGGTGTTTGCTTAAGTAAAGTGACTGTAATTGCACTTTTTTTCCTGCTTGTCCAGGTTAACCTTGATTTTCACACCAAAGAAGTCATTACTAAGAGCATCACCCAACCTACCCTCCACAGTTTTGATGCTGCACAAAGCAGAGTATATCAGCTCATGGAACAAGACAGCTACACGCGTTTTCTGAAATCTGACATCTATTTAGAATTGATAGAAGGAAGACCTCGGAGACCCACAAATCTTAGGAGACGATCACGCTCATTTACCTATAATGAATTCCAGGATGTGAAATCAGATGTTGCCATTTGGCTATAAGGAAAATTGGTTTATCTCATTTTGATGGTAAACTTGTATCTCAGCTTCTAAGATATAATATGTTTGCATTAAGAAATTATTCTATCTTTTAAAATGTACCACATGAAAGAATTTTAAAAATATAAATCAAAGCTTTTATATTTAAAAATGTATGATGTATCTTTCAATATATTCTGTAAAACTTTCCATTTTATATCACCCCATTCATAACCAGAAATTTTTTCTTTTTTATTTAAAAGGGAACAAAGACATAGGAGCAATGTTTTACAAGACTGTGAAGTTAAGTAAAGGCTAAGGTTTAGCAAAATTATTAAGAGTTTCACCAAATAGTGAGTTTAGATTTTTTTTCAAGATGCTTACAACATAGTACTTACATATCCATATATTTGGAGAGCATTTTTCCATAATAATGAATATTCTCTTTCTCTTAGTAATAGAGTGAAATAATCTAGTTCTTGTATTGTGAGAGGACGGGAAGCTCAAGAAAAACCATAGATTACTTCTAGTATTAAGCCCGCAATTGGGCCTTCTGCGAAGACATGTTGATATGCAGAGAACTTCCAGGTTAAATATAAGCTAGGTTGATAAGTGAGAATGAGATCCAGAGTTGGGTTCATTCCTAAATGGGCCTAGACTCTCCCAGTTAGACGGTGCATTTTTTTTTTCTGGTCACAGAAAGATATTCAGATTATGGAGAAAAAATGGATAAATAAATTAAAAATTAATCATATGATGCATATGTCCAGATTGGGACTGAGTAGACTATATCCTTGCCTGATAAATGAACTTACTATTGAAACAGGAGGCAATCAATGGTTTGAATGATGAGCAGAGGACAATTTTCTCAGGAGTAAGTAGGTTTCAGGTTCAGACTTTTGAAGTTGGGTTGAAATAAGAAATTAGAAGAGGCAAAGAAGCAATGAGTTTAAGACTCAGGCATCTGTCACCCTCTCTCATCTTCAAAGCATGTTCTCCCTTTAATAACATTCTTACTATAATTTTCATTTAATACTGTATTATTCAAATAATATTATCTAATAAGTATACATATATTACAGAAATATTTAATTTTAAGTATGTATTACATGGTCCATAAATATCTGTATTTAAAGATAAACATTTGGCTTTGGCAAATGTTATCATTTTAATTGAAGTGTAAAATATAAAAACTTTTGGCTATCCAAAATAATAAACATTTTCAATTTCTTCATACAGTTTATTTTTTATTTAGCCAGTAAAAGTTCTAGCTAATTGTTGATTATCTTTCCTGTTATCAAATAAGAAATAACCACATCTTTTTACTTTAGGATGATATTAATATGGAAAATATTGAGATATTGTGTCACTAATGTTAACTCTAATGGTAACTCAATTCTTTATATTGTTGTCAATATAAAAACAAAAATCATGCATTGCAAGTATCATCTAGAAAAATAATTTTAAATTTTCTTTGGCTGATTTGTATTTTCATTTTTTGTGGCAGTCTCTTTTCATGAAATTTGATTGTTTCATGTACTGAATTAAGATTTCATACAAGCTTTCTGATTTTATCATGAAAATCATGGACTGATTTTAATAGCTTTGTCCTGGAATCATGAACATTTGTTATTAGCTTTTCTATTTGTAATCTATTTCAAAATTGTCCAATTTCTTGATTGAATTATGAAATATTCAATGAGGTGCTTCCAAAATGTACCAGGATTTCTTGATACAGTTAATGCCTGACTTCAAAGAGCTTTGATCTCTGAAGGGAATAACATGAACAAATACAGAAAAAAAAAAAAAGAGTCAATAATGGAACTAGTAAAAAAAGCCAAGTAAAAACATAGATAGCACTGAGCTCTGGCTGAAAGAACAGTGAAGATGTATAAACTGAGACTCTAGAAGCTCAAGGCTAAACTTCTTAACTGGATGTCTGATCCTCAGAAATTCATATAACTGCACAGACCCTTGCCCTCTACAATCTTTTATAGAAGGACTCAAATTTTCTTATTTCTTGTGCTCTGTATGGTCCCCACATTTACTGATTTTAAGTATTGTAATGAATATTCTCCAAAGAACCTTCCGATTGGTGCACAAGCAGAAAAAAAAGAGTCAAAAACTATGACTGATGAAGAAAAATTGCAGAATAAAAATTGGAATGGGTGCTATTCTAAGAATAAGKAACACTTTTATAGAAAACTTACAAATACATAAAAGGAAAAATAACTTGATTTTTTTCTTTTTCTTTTTTTCTTTTTGCAGTCAAATCAATTTAACACAATGTCTTTAAAGACATTAGAAGACAAAGACAAAGGTGGATTGAATTAGATCATTCTACTACCTTGCTTGTGGATTTCAAGTTTTGCCTACCAGATTACCAAGTGTTGTACATAATATAAGATCAATAAGTGACTTTTACATTAAATACTACAAAACTACAAAATGAAGCATTATGAGGATWGTAGTGCATTGCACGGCCAGAGTAAAGGCTTTAACATGAGGCAAAAGACATACACAAGAGACTCACTAAATTTAATTCTAGCTCTGCTTACTTATCAAATATATGTTGGGAAAGTTACTTAAATATTCTACACTTCACAATTCGTTTTTAATATTAGAATAAAACTTTTACAATGTTCTTATGATGATTAAATTTTGAAATATTTGTAAAGTGCCAAATATAGATTAATTGACTTCAGTGTGTGGATGAGATTATGGAAATCATTTCCTGTATTTAAGTATCACATTTTAATTATAATTTTTGCCTTGGTTACACATCAAACAAATGTTCTTTGAGAATAATAAGATTTCCTTGAACAAAGTATGAGGATAACTATTACTTTTATAAAAACTTTTATAATTTTGCAGTGCATAGAAAAGTAAATCATGRTATTTTAACTAAATGAAAAACTACAAAAACATTTTAAAAGTTTAAATATTTTTCTAAATTCACAAAGAAAAATCTTAACTATTTAATTTTTACAAAGCAGTCCTTCCTTAGGAGAAAAATGAACAAATCATAGTGAAGATATATAACTCCAAAATGCTCACACTTAGTTATGCTGCTAACTAAGTTTAAACACATCAATTTTATTTTCATTGTGCTATATTTACTGGTCTTATATTTAGTGTCCTGACTTTGAAATTATTATCTATCTTAAGAAAAAATATATAACCACACAAATTTATTCCACAATATTGTTCAACTATGTTAACTGAACCATAAAAATAAAAGGTAATATGTTAAAATAAATTTTCTGCAACATATGTAATGAATGGACAAATATTTAATGAACAATTTTATTTGGTACTGATCATCACTGGATGCTCAGAAGTAAATCTAACAGGAGTGATAGAGAAAAAGGAAAAGAGAAAGAAACTTTTCTTTTTCCAGAAAGACTAGAGTTTTTGATAGTTTGAACTCACAGCCATATGAAAGCCATGCTTTGAACCAATCATCCTTCATCTTTACCTCAGAGAGCAAATCCACCTATGACTGATCACGTGGACCATCACTCACCTTTCCTTGATAGGAATTAGGTAGCTAATTTTACTTGTTTGAGAAAGACATATACAAGAGACTCACTAAGTTGCAAAATCTTTGGGCACCTTCCATAATAAAACAAAACAGAATTCAAAGCATATGCACACGTATCAATCAATGCATTTTACCTAAATTTTGTTTTTTCTTTGGTTTGATTTGGTTTGGTTCATTTCATTTTATTGGTTGTGCCTTATAAAACTCATAATATTTTAGGAAAAAAAACTTTAAAAGTTTATAAAAAATGCTGAAAAAAGTAGCAGCATTAGTAGTAAAACATTGCATGTGAAAAATATAAAACTCTTTACAAGCTCTGATTTTAAAGGATAAAATCATTTCACAGTAAATACACATGCTTATATGGTGTTTTACGTACTAATTAAATTTTCTGCAGCAGAAATGAAATTTTAAAAGGAAATATTTTAAATATCAGAAACTTACAAAAAAACCTACTAATTTTTAGATAGTCCACTTATAGCTTTATCTCTGATTTCTTAAATGTAACAAATAAGCAAAAATTGTGGGGGAAAATAAAGACTGAATCACTGTTAAATTCTGACCTATCAAAAAATGTCACAATTCTGCTTCTAGACTCTACTTTTAACTAGAGCAAGGAAGTAGATGGAAAATTTGTCATCAACCTGTGAAATCCAACAATTATTTTCTCAACACCAAACTGTTGTTGCATGTGAAGAAATTGTAATATTTATACATGAACTCAAATGAGATCAAAGCAACATAAATGAAATCAGGAACACACTTACTTAGCCACCTGTAGCTTAGCATACCTTATACCTCATTTATTCTTTTTTTTTTTTTTTTTTTTGAGGGCCAGATGTCTGTTTCTTTTTTTTTTTTTTTTTTTTTATTGGTCGTTCATAACATTACATAGTTCTTAATACAT